CTTGAATGATTCCACACTCTGGCAGCGAGTTTCAGATCTTAACCGCTCTAACTGTGAAGAACCCCCTGCGCCCTGTGTGGTGAAATTTTTTTTACATCAATTTTTGGTTGTGCCCTCTGGTCTTTGTTACAGAGCTGACCATAAACAGTTTGTTACTGAGGTTGCTGTCACCCTTGAATAGTTTATACATGAAAATCATGTCCCCCTTAATCTCCTAAACTCCAACGAGAACATATTTAATTTTAACAACCTTGTTTCATAGTTCAGATCCTCGAGCCCCTTAATGAGTTTGGTTGCCCTCTTCTGGACTTTTTCCAGCTCAAGGACATCCTTTCTGAGTATTGGTGACCAAAACTGGACCGCATACTCCAGATGTGGCCGAACCAGTGATCTATAAAGAGGCAAAATTATAGACTTGTCCCTGCAATACATTCCCTTCTTAATGCAAGACAGGACTCTGCTTGCTTTGTTTACAGCAGTCTGGCACTGCAAGCTATTCTTCATTCTGCGGTCTATAATGACCCCCAAATCCTTCTCCGTTTCCGACTTCCCTAGTTGCATACCCATAAGTGTATAGTCCATTTGCCTATTTTTAGCTCCAAGGTGCATTACCGTACATTTATCGACATTGAACTTCATCTGCCATACAGTTGCCCACTCCCCAATTTTCTCCAGGTTCTCCTGTAATGTTATAATGTCTAAATCTGTGTCTACTACCCTCCCAATTTTTGTATCATCAGCAAACACTGAGATATGACTTCTCACTCCCTCCCTGATATCATTAATAAATAGGCTGCTTATTTTACTTTTGTTGTTATCCGTTTTTATCAATCCCCCTCCCCCACCTTGCCCAACTCCCACCTTTCCTCCTATCCTAGCCCCTCCTTTCTCTATCCCAAACCCATAGTAACAAAGATACTACAAGCTGTGTACACCTCTATAGACATCACTCTGATCAATGTACAAGTCACTATGTAACTTAGTGCACTAATTATGCATAATGTATACTCTGTAACTTTCAACTATTTGTGCTGCTATTCTGTGATACTTACAATTAACAGGATAATCCAACACAATGCAGTTAAAGTGACACTAAACTCAGGAGTTAAATCTTAAAAATCCATTAAAGTACCTTAACTACAAACAAAAATGTATCTTATTTGTGTATCACTCGGTTGTAGATCCTCAAATCATCTCTGCATTTGTGCTGATGCTGTCCTTCCTTCTGGAGGGTGGCTACTTTTGTTCCCCATGCCCCCTTGTGTGTGTTGTAAAGTAGCCACCACTCCAAACTCGCTCCTGTGACAAGACTATAATTTCAATACAAATTATTTAACTAAACGTGAGATTGTGATCCATCACAGGAACGAAATTTGAGTGGTCGCTACTTTACAACACACACAGGGACCCTGGGGAAAAAAAGTACCCACCCTCCAGAAGGAAGGACAGTGTCAGCACAAATTGAAAGATGATTTGAGGATCTACAGATGAGTTATACGCAAATAAACTACATTTATGTTAATAGTTAGGGTACTTGACTGCATTTTTAAGATTTAACTCCTGAGTTTAGTGTCACTTTAAAGGAGAACTATGAGGTGAGTGAAAATCACTCATCCTCACAGTTCGCGCCGAGGTGTGACAATGAAACTGCCACACGTCGGCTCAATAGATCGGGAAGTGAGCGAACACATACTGTACTCTCGCTCGCTCACTTCTCGATCATGTCCCTGCAGACAGCAGTGACTGTCAGTCACGGCTCCCCGCATGGATTCCCCTCCGATCCTCCAGCGCTGACTGGAGGAATAACCAGGGGAGGGGGTGGGCACAGCTGGCTCTGCCTCTAAATAGGCAGCAGAAAATAAACTACTGTCATTCACCCAGCCGGGTAGATTTCAACAGCATTGTCGGGATCTGTCACGGCTGCGCCGGTCTCAGTTTTCCACAAGCTGTGGCTCGCGATATACTGAGCTTTGGGTCACGGAAGGAGGCCAGTATATGTCCTTCCGTGACCCTTAAGAGAACTATGGGAAAAAACACTTACCCCATAGTTCTATTTTAAACCTCAGTATTATTTTTGTTTTCCATGATTCATACATATGACATTTTATTTAGTTAAGCAAGATTTTAAGGAGCTGACAGCATGATTAGTAGTATATGTACTGTAGACTTCAAATCTACCAGATTCCATAAACACATAGTGCTCATTCATAAGGCAAAAAGAACTGCCCAACAGCATTAAAAAAGGTGCCTATACAGGTGAAACTCAAATAATTAGAATATCGTGCAAAAGTTCATTTATTTCACTAATGCAACTTAAAAGGTGAAACTAATATATGAGATAGATTTATTACATGCAAAGCAAGATAGTTCAAGCCGTGATTTGTCATAATTGTGATGATTATGGCTTACAGCTCATGAAAACCCCAAATCCACAATCTCAGAAAATTAGAATATTACATGCAATCAATAAAACAAGGATTGTACATAGAACAATATCGGACCTCTAAAAAGTATAAGCATGCATATGTACTCAGTACTTGGTTTGGGCCCCTTTTGCAGCAATTACTGCCTCAATGCGGCGTGGCATGGAAGCTATCAGCCTGTGGCACTGCTGAGGTGTTATGGAAGACCAGGATGCTTCAATAGCGGCCTTCAGCTCTTCTGCATTGTTCGGTCTCATGTCTCTCATCTTTCTCTTGGCAATGATTCTCTATGGGGTTCAGGTCAGTCGAGTTTGCTGGCCAATCAAGCTCCCCTATTTTATCCAGGTCCTCCTGCAATGTTGTATTGTCACGATCCGTTTCTAGTACCCTCCCTATTTTTTTATCGTCTGCAAACACGGAAACATGGCTATTTATTCCCTCCCCAATGTCATTAATGAATAGGTTGAACAGTATCGGACACCGCACAGGCACACCGCTCATTACACTAGCCCAGTCCGAAAAGGTGCCATTTACAGATACTCTCTGGACAGGTTCCTGTAGCCAGTTCTCTATCCACGTACACACCACCTCATCTATGCCCAAAGCCCTCAGCTTGTGAAGTAAGCACTTGTGTGGTACCGTATCAAATGCCTTTGAGAAATCCAGGTATACCAGATCTACCGGCTTCCCTTCATCCATATCTCTGCTTATCCCCTCATAAAAAGTTAGCAAGTTAGTCAGGCAGGAACGGTCTTTCCGGAACCCATGCTGATTGCCATTAACTATGCCCTTATCCTTAACAAATGTCACCAAATAGTCCTTAATTATACCTTCTAACAGTTTACAAACTACCGATGTTAGACTGACCGGCCTATAGTTCCCTGGTTGGCATCTAGCCCCCTTTTTGAATATTGGAACTAAGTTGTAAGTTGTAGACCCAGACTTCTATAACATGTATAATACACATCATAAATAGAGTATATCACCAAGCAAAAATAATATAACCATGCACACATTCAGACACAATTATATATTATTTTATCCAAAAATTCAAATTTGTAGTTTTTATTGTTAATATTTTCCCTTTAAGCATCATACTACATATGTTTCTGGGACTTTTTCATTTTCTATACACATATTAAATTAAAATGCATTAAGAGCTTTATTTTTACTATTCTTTCAATACCATTACAGCTTTTGCCTGGGTTTTGGCTTCCTTTACACCAGGCTTTAGTTTGATCAGAAAATGATATCTGGCAACCCGGAAGCTGGCCCACTGCTGACACGTCTTCTACAAATTTCAAACACGTGTTAAGCGTATTCAATGTGTTCAATGTGTAGAGCCATGCAAACTTGTGATAGTCACATGCTGCATGGTGACCATATGAGAAACAAATGTCGGGAGTGCTTCTGACAGGAATTCTGTATATAAGTCTATGACATATGACGCAATTTTGTGCTGATAGGCACATATTGTAATAAAACGTGAATGTTCTTCAGAATTTCCATCTTTTCTGGTAATTCGGATGACTTGCTAAAACATCTGCTTTTAAGTAACAAATCTTTCTAAAATACCATCTGTAGTGCAAACGTGGCCTTGTAAAACAGTGACTAAGAATGGGCCACAAACTTTCCTAATCCAGCCAGTAGCAACAGTCAAGTACTGTGGCATGGGGCCAAAATGTATGCAGTGGGAAACCTGTTGTGACAGTTGTTAACCTGCAATCATTATTCCAACCTTTACTAACACTGGCCATTCAATTTGCAAAGTAAATATCTGTGGTGTAAGATATCAAACCAGTGTCAATGTTGATTAGTGCCAAGAATTTATGTTTCTCAGTATGAGGCAAAAAATAAGGGATTTGATTTTTTTGATTCATTTAAGAATACCCGCCTTGAATATTCTAGCACTGGACATTGTGAAACAAAATATTATGTTGGAAAATGACTGTTCAATTGCCCTCTATACTTACCTCTCCCATGCCTGATATGCTTATATCATTAAATTATGTTCACTTTTGGTAAAGAAGTAACATCATTACTAAAGAACTACAGAACTACTTTTAGAACTACAGTTCTAAAGAAGCAATCATATTGGACTTTGAATATTCAAAACGTGCAGTGATATGTGGCTTTTGGTCAGTGAATACAAGGTTTTTTATTATTATAATTTTAAATTTATATTGATCCATTATAATCAACCTGTAGGGTATTTAATCTGAATTGAATCAAAATTGCACAATGTTTTGAATTTTACAAAACACAACTGTATCTGTGCTGCTTTGTGCCATTTTTGTAGTTAATGACAATGACAGCATAATAAATGGGCCAAATGAGGCCTCATTTGGAAAAATGGTTAACAATGTAAATTTCTATATTACATATAATGTAAACTTTCATGGATAATGCAAATTCCCTTAGCTGTATTAGTAAATTAGCTATAATCCAAAATTTAGGAGCAATAAAAATAAAAAATTATATAATTATTGTTGTTATTTTTATTATTGCTAGTAGTAAAAGTAGTAAGTCCTTTAAAAAAAATTAAAAATGCAGAGTAAACTAATAACTTTAACTCACCCTGTTGTTTCGGTCTGTTTCACAAACTTCTTCTTCAGTTAAGCCTTGACGTTTGAGAGCTCTTAAAACAATTGCATTGTTGCTACTGCATGCTTTAAAGACAGAAAGTGGTTCAGGACTAGGCATACTATCGAAACTCTTGAAACTGTCAGTATCAAAGTCTGTATACTCATACCGATCCCCATCGCTATTTTCTTCCCCATAAAGCCAACCTTTGGTCTCAGTATCTGGTGGATAAAATGAATCATCAGATGCAATGCTCCTTGTGTCAGAAAGTTCAGAAAAGTCATCATATTCTTCACACTCTTCCTCCTCACTCAGATCATTTGTGCACTGTTCTATGGAGGGTACAACTGCAAGGAGTTGTGGCAGAGGATCTCCAGTTCCTTGCCATGACAGCTTGTTCTGTCTAAGTTCTTCTTCCAGTCCATTGGTATCCTGTAGCAGGCCATTACCACCTTTGCCATCTTCAGTAAACTGAACCTCTGATTTCCCCTTAGGTGTCCTTGCATCACTGCCTGTATTTGGAGGCCCAGATATAAGCACCATTGATCTAGATGGAAGAATAATAGCTATCACTTACGGTAGTTAATTTTATTTTAATGTCCTAAAATAACAAAATAATTGCATTTCCGCTTTTGTTAGAATTAATGTTGTTTTCTATTAATGCAGCATTTCATTTAAATCTATTTCTCTTGTTGGGTTCAAAAGTCTATTTATTTAAATCATTTGACGAAATAAACATAGCTTCATTTACATCTTTTCTTTTCTTTGAATGGATACATTTTGTCAAGCAGTAACATTTCTGCTTTTGTTGCTCAGAATATACAGCTCAAATTAAAATATATTTTTCACACCTTTATAAAATGGAAGTGTTAGAAGAAGTAAATTACTGTAATCCTGTTGCTATTCTTACAAGTAACATTTTCTCCTGCAAAACAAAAAAGAATATGAATTTCTTTGGGGATAAATTACATTTACATTTAAATTACATTTGTTTAATATTTATATTCAAGAGGCATAATTAAAAGCTAAATAATCACAGTAAGTTCTAAATATCTACTTACTTTAAACACTCGGTCTAACTCGGTCTAACATAAGATGAAAAAGTTATGTCCACATTGCTCACCTTAAAGTGTAGCAAATATCAGGGAATGCACGAAAAAAAAAAGCATGTAACAGTTCTTTTTGCATGCTATCCGAATGGAGGAAAAGACATTTGGAAAAGTCCTGCTACCTAATCCGATCATCATTTCTGAGAAGATTGAGAATCCAGCTTAGCATGTTGACATCAGGGGGACGTTTTAAAAGAGATTTAAATGGGAAATGCGCAGCTGTCAGTGTCAGTTCCTGTAAGGCAGACATATAATCATGTATGCGGGTTGATGAGAATTTCTGCAAGTTTCTGGTGCCTAAACTTTGTTTAAAGAAATGAAGAAGAAAGCCGTAGAATGGGGTACAGATACAACACTCATTTAGACAAGACTACCTAGGAGACAATTTTAAGTAAGTTCTTGACTCTCCTGTGAAGAACACAAGTGAAGTCAATTTAAAAATCATTCTAAATGCTTGTTTCCTACCTTTTTGTAATTTGCATTTTAATTTTCATACCGTATTTATAAACATCAGTCATATGCTTTATTCAATTTGTAATGCAAGTTGTAACAAATTAGTAAAATCATAAGAAGCTATCTTAATAATAAAATATAACAGTACTCTCATCAATGTCACGTTCTGAAAAAAATCACATACATTATTGTATATATTTTATATTTCAGTTCAACAAAAAAAATTATAATTTCATTATCTGTCAGAAATGAGGAAGATCGGATACCTAAGCATCTGCATCATCTAATGCTACTTAAATGCATATAGTGTTCACTATTAATCACCCACTCTCATTTTTTCTCTGCCACCATCATTCAGAAATAATCGGTTCTTAAAATGAACCTGTCGTGAGAGAAATATAAGGTGCTATAGCTGAAAATGCTTGTTTCATGGCTGCTATTTGCTTCAATACTCTAAACCCCTGACCTGGAACAACAGGGCCAGTGAATTAAAATATTGAAACAAAAAGGTTCTCCATGACAGCCAAGAAATAATTTTTTTTGAAGGACAGAACAGGTTTAAAAAAAAACAAAAAACTCTAAGGCCTCCTTCACACTTTACGCTGCATTAATGCACTTGTGTTAATGCAATGCTTTACCATGCATTAAGGTGCCGCGTGTTAGGCAGCCCACTCATTTTTAGTGGGCTGGCAATGCACCTCAATGCAGGGAAAATGGTATATGACCCTTTATTAGGTAATACAGCACACCATATTGCAAAGCATGTGGTTTGTGGTGTGCTGCTATGGGGGTGCTCTACCCGCTACTCTAACAGCGCATTGGGGTGCCATTTAAAATGAATGGCAATGCATCTAATCCCAAAAAAAAACGTTTCCCTAAAGATATAAATGGCCATTGGCAACCTGCAAAATATTTTGCTTTTATCTTTGACCAGTCATTGCTGTCACATTTCCTAGGTCACCAGCTAGGTATTTAACCTTTTCACTGCCACTGATGATGCTATAGCAACTGAGAGTTTGTTTATATTTTTAAATTGCACTGTCAACTGTTTGTGGAATTAATTCAGATAACTGTAAAGCTGCCCGATTACTTCCACATGTACTGTAGCATGCTGCCCCCCGTGTGCCATGTGTCCCAGGCTTACCTGACCTTTCTGGGTGACGGGCACCATCATGTAGGGTGTTAGGATTTAGAGCAGTAGGAGACCAATGAACATTCATGTACGGGCTATAGTGATTGAACCGAAGGGCTCCGGCGGCCAAAGAGCCGAAGGATTAGCCGAAGCTACACCTGGATCCTTCGGCTACTACATGAATAACCCCCTTAGTATTGTTATTCTCCAGCCTCCGTGGCCTGGAAAGAAACTAGTGGACAGGGGCGGACTGACAGTTCGGGCATTTGGGCACTGCCAGAGGGCCCGCAGCCACGGTGGGCCCGTCACTGACCCCCCCCCCCCCCCCCCCTCTTTTACTAATAGCACTACAACAACACATATAGTGTGTGTTCTCCATTGTCCTTTTCCCTTTCCTAACAGTATCCCATGTCAGTGTCCAGCAGCCACGGGGGGCCCCTCCCCGCCCCCCCCCCCCCCGCTGCTCTTTTACTTAATTCCAGCAGGATGTGTCCCCAAGGCCCATCAGACTCTGCTGTTGCTGTATTAACATAGCTGTGTCTCCTCAACAGCCGGTGGGCGGGGCCTATCTCATGCTACTCTTGAGTCCTGACTGACTCCAGCTTCCTAGTTCCAGGGGTATTGCCCTGTCCCTGGCCTTTGAACAGCATGCCCAGATCCAGGTGAGAAGAGCCCCCTGAGATGGTGAAGAGGTGGGTGTCAGGCATGTGGTTATCTTGCCATGCAAGAGTGCCCCTTGTCCTTTGCAGTGGAACCAGTGATTATTAGCACTTATATTATTAGCAGTGATTATTAGCACTGTTAAACCCAGCTATTTTAAGCTATTATTAAACTGACTTTAAAGCAGATTTTCACTTAGAACAACAACAAAAAACAAAACAAGCACATAGAAAACAACAGTTATTTGGTCAGCATATAGATTTCAGAAGTGGACAGGTTGGATTGCAACTTTTCTCCAGTGATAACCCATGTGGCACTGAAACTGATTGATAATCATTAAGATCTGTGCTATGTACAGTTGCTGGGTTTAGTGCATATTTTCTGGTCTATGGTGTGAAGTCTGCCATGCATTTATTCTGGTCTGCGGTCTGCCGTGCATTTATTTTGGTCTATGGTGTTAGGTCTGCAGTACATTTATTCTGGTGTGAGGTCTACTATGCATTTATTCTGGTCTATGGTGTGAGGTCTGCCGTGCATTTATTCTGGTCTGTGCTCTGCCGTGCATTTATTTTGGTCTATGGTGTGAGGTCTGCAGTGCATATATTCTGGTCTATGGTGTGAGGTCTGCCGTGCATTTATTCTGGTGTGCATTCTGCAGTGCATATATTCTGGTCTGCGGTCTGACGTGCATATATTCTGGTGTGAGGTCTGCTATGCATTTATGCTGGTCTATGGTGTGAGTTCTGCTGTGCATTTATGCTGGTCTATGGTGTGAGGTCTGCTTTGCATTTATTCTGTGCATTTTTTCTGGTCTATGGTGTGAGGTCTGCCATGCATTTATTCTGGTCTGCCATGCATTTATTCTGGTCTGCAGTCTGCCATGCATTTATTTTGGTCTGTGTTATTTTGGCCTAAACAGAACACTATGCCCACAATTACCCAATGTTGATCCAGAGGAAGGCAAAAAAAACCTATAAAGCATGGTTCAATTTGGTCCAACAGGGGAAAGAAAATCCTTCCTGATCCCATAAGGCAATTGGATATTCCCTGGATCAACAATCTCTGATGCATAATATACCTATAATAACTCAATATCCAGTGATATTCTGTGCATTTAGGAATACATCCAGATGTTTTTTTAAACAATTAACCGAGCTAGCTAGAACTAGCTCCTGGGGGAGTCTATTCCACATTTTCACAGCTCTAACTGTGAATCCTTTCCATATGTAAAGGTTAAACCTCTTTTCCACCAGACGCAAAGAGTGCCCCCTTGTCCTTTGCAGTGACATTAACGTGAATAAATTGGCACCAATCTCTTTATATGGGCCATTCATGTCCCCCTTTAATATGGGTGATCATGTCCCCCTTTAATCACCTCTTCATGTCCCCCTTTAATATGGGTGATCATGTCCCCCTTTAATCACCTCTTCTCCAGAGAGAACAAATTCAGGTCAGCTAATCTTTCCTCATAGCTGAGCTCCTCCATGCCTCTTATGAGTTTGGTCGTCCTTCGCTGCACTTTCTCCAGTTCCACAACATCCTTTTTGTGAACTGGTGCCCAAAACTGAACTGCCTATTCCAGATGAGGTCTTACTAATGCATTGTACAGGGGCAGTATTATGTCTCTCTCTCTGGAGTCTATACCCCTCTTAATACAAGAAAGTATTTTGCTTGCTTTAGAAACTGCGGCTTGACATTGCATGCTGTTATTGAGTCTATGATCTACCAGAACACCCAGATCTTTCTCCACCATTGACTCCCCCAAACATACTCCCCCCAGAGTGTATGACGCATGCATGTTTTTAGTCCCCAAGTGCAGAACTTAACATTTATCAACATTAAACCTCATTTGCCAAATAGATGCCCAATCACACAGTGCATTCAGATCTGCCTGTAGGTTGGAGACATCCTGTAAGGACTGTATTCCACTACATAACCTGGTGTCTACATAACTTATGTGCAAACACAGAAATAGTACTTTTAATCCCCAATTCTATGTAATTTATAAATAGGTTAAACAGTAAGGGGCCCAACACTGAACCTTGGGGAACACCACTAACAACCTCAGACCATTCAGAGTATGAATCATTGATCACCACTCTCTGAATACGGTCTCTAAGCCAGTTTTCTACCCAATTACAGATTGAATACTCTATACCTACTGACCTTAACTCATACATTAGCCGCATGTGGGGAGCTGTGTCAAACGCTTTTGCAAAGTCCAAGTATACTATATTCACCGCCATTCCTCTGTCCAATTTATTACTCACTTCCTCATAAAAAGAAAGTAGATTTGTTTGACAACTTCTGTCTTTTGTGAATCCGTGCCAACTATCGCTTAGGATATTATTTTCAAGCAAAAACAATTGCATGTGATCCTTTATCAAACTTTCAAAGTATTGTGCCAACTATTGAAATTAAACTTACAGGTCTGTAATTACTTGGTAAATACTAAATTACTAGGTAAAATCTGGTGCCTCTTTTGCAGATGTTCGATGAAAGTGTATCGCTCACCCCCGAAGGAGCCGCTGAATGTACCAGGTATTTCTATCCCCCTACACCAATGTAATGCCCAAATGTGGATCCACAGCACACAGCACACCTTTAAAGAGTTTTATAACAGATTTAATGACCACACAAGATAAAAGTATAAAATGAGGCACTTAGTGGCTCACCAATTACATAAAATACAGTCAATGAAAGGCAAAGGCACTCTGACACTCAACAACCGCAGCTATCTACTGCATTCACGGAAGCCTGCAATGTCAGACTGTCTCAGACGTTACCCTTGAGTTAGGTATAGGCAACACTCATAAGTGTTTAAAAGTGTCTGACCCTCTTTAGACTACTGACCAGTAGTAATATCCTAGGCTAGCCAATGTTGGGGCCCATGCTGTATAGCAGATGTGAAAAGTACAAAGTCACATTGGCCAAAGGCCTCTCACCACTCCCAGGGCCACTCCGAAAGGATGATGTCTGTCAGCAGAAGACGAACGTCCCTCTTTCTTTCAGACCGACACTTGTGAAGAAAGTGAAGTCATCTAGGGCCCCACTTCGGGCGCTCAATCGAAATCTTTTTTCGGCTCAGCAAACGAAAATCAGTCTCTCCATTGCACAGAGCCTGTGTGTCCCGGTATGTCAGGGGCAACCACACAGCTCTGATGCTCACAGACTTAACCCACACAAGGTTACACACAGGTCTGTCCTCTTCAGACGGCTCTCCAGACTGAGCGGGCTCAGCAGCTACAGCCCATAGTACCCCTCCTTCCTCTCACACAGCCTCCTGGGAGTTGCAGTTCCAGAGATCCTTCTCACAATGTCTCAGTCCCTGCTCTGAGTCTCTGCCTCAAAGGACACACAGGCAATTAACTATTTGCAGTCAGAAACACAGATCGCTGTAATAGCACATATATACATCTATATGGGGGCTACTAAAGTAACAACAGATGCTTTAATATTGGGCCTTTAGTGTTGGTGGTGCCTTTCCTTCATACCGTACCCAGCTGAGTTACTCTTGACGAGTTAAAAATTCAAATTATATAAAGTAATGATGACTTTGCCCAATCATGGCTTACAGCTAAGTCCTGTCAGGTGCCAGACAAATGTATGTGATGTCACCGCTAGCTCAGCCCAATTGTTTATATTTTGCCGGCATCTGTCAGAATTCCATTGTTCGCAAGCGGATGGGTCGGCGGGTGTCAGATTTTTGTTTTCTTTATTATTTCTATTTCTTTTTTTTTAATTTCGTCAAGTCGTCATCATGAACAACTGGACATAGTGATTGACCTTAGGATTAGGGATGGGCCGAGTGTTCGATTCGAACATGAGTTTGAATCGAACATCGGCAGTTCAAGCGCTCGCCGAACTTTATGGGATGTTCGCAGTTTGTTTCGACCGCGGACATTCCATAACACAAAATGCCCACTGAAGCTCTGATTCGTTAAAGCCTTGCACCTGACCACAGGTCAGGTGCAAGACTTTGCCCAATCAGGGCTCAGCGGAGGAGGAGCCTGAAGGAGAAAGTTCTCTATCAGGTCCCCCCATGCTGATTGACAGCAGGCAGTGGGCAGGTGCAATAGCCAGCTTACTATTGGCTATTGCATTTTACAATATCCAATAGCAGGCTGGGTATGGCTCCCAGCCTGCAATGAAGAGGAAATGCATACACTTGCATTGAGTTCGAGTTCGTACTCGAACATTTCGGCGGTTCTAATGTTCGAATACGAACCGAACACGGGGGTGTTCGGCTCATCCCTACTTAGGATTACGTCGGCCCATCCATTTTTGGGTTTTGGTGTAAGCAGCCTTATCTAGTGTGGGGCTGGGACTTAGCTGTGAGCCATGATTTGGCAAAGTCATCATTACTTTGCACAATCATG